TCAGTTTCAGTTATAGAGTGCGGACATTCGGTATATATTAAGTGGGGACATATAGAGTCTCTCCTTCATAGCCTGGCTTGCTTCACTCAGCAGTAAATCTTCCATATTTTTCCACTTTCTGTCAAAAGTCAGGGTTTTGTTGTTTTTAATGGCTGAATAGTATTCCATAGAGTATACGTGCCACAGTTTTTCAATCCATTCAGAGTGCTAATATTTTTCTATAATTGATTTTTGGGTTTGATGTGGTTTAGGAGAAAAGATATGAATTTTTTTCCTCAAACACATATTTCTAATTAACTTAGCAATATTTGCTGAACATATCGTTTTCTTCTCCACACTATGCAGTACTTTTTTTGTTTTGTTTTGGTTATAAATCACATGATGATATGATTTTCAGGACTTGGTTTCTGGGCTCATATTTCTTCCAGTAGTATTGTAAATAAAAAATCTAAAGAATGATATCATTTTAAAGAGTTTACTCCAGTAAGAAGTTATTAATAAATCTGGAAATATTTATGGGTTCAGTACCACCATGTCAGAGGCAAGCATCTCCTAAGAAGAGGCAAAAACAAAGTTATCAGATTGTGGGTTTTTTTTTAGGTACTTTGTGGGAAAGACTCTAGTTACATAATTAAATGAAACTTGAATGTTATGCTTGACTGAGAATAAGTTTCATTTCTGTCTAAGAGAAGCATTTATCAGAAATAACCCAAGTTAAGTTTCACTTTTTGCAGATCAAGAAAGGTTGAGATGCTGTATGAAGTCTAATTGATTTTGTCTGCTCAGGAACTCTTAGCTGTGGTCTCAATTTTAATTTATGTTAAAACAGTATTTCTATACATAGTTAAAGGACAGGCAATATATATTTCAAGGAAATTATATGTAGTGTCCACAATATCATTTTAGGAATTACAAATATGGTGTTAAAAATCTACCTATTTTACTAACACACTGCTCTTGTACAGATCCAATCTTGGAGAAATTGAGACGTTCCAAAACTTCACCAAGTGTGAGCTGACAAAATTAATTATAGTCTCAGGTGTTGTGTAACTTGGTAAAACTTCTATCACCTTAGTTGACCATGTTTCTGTGAAAAATCAGATATACCATTCCCTGATTCTGGTAATTATAGGACATCTAAGGAAGAAGGTTAATTGAAAGTAATTGGGTTGTTTGAGATATGTGGTCACAGAGTTTCTTTAGTAGTGCTAAGTCCAAATTGCTTAATGCTTTGGAGCCGGCTAGCTAAATAATAAACTGCTGCTGTAATCAACTTCGTTCCTGTTTCCTGTTGATTCTTATTTTGTTTCCCTTTTGGATAAAATCTCCAAAAAATATCTCAAAATTTTTCATTTCTTCTTTTGTTACCTCTCCATGGACAAAAAAGAGTATTTCTTTGGGCTAGGTAGAAGATTTTAACTTCTTTACTGCCTGATAAGTTTTCTAAGCATGGTAGAGTTAACACGTTTTTAATTACTTCTTCTTTATTATCAATGACATTTCTGTTATGTGATATATACAAAATTGTTTATGCTCTGTCTTCTGCCTAAGTGTTTATTTCTGTGCCCTTGCCCTGGCCCCTCATTGGATGCTTAGTCACCAGGCACGCCGATATATGCCAGTTTTCATAGATATGATTGTTTTGCTTTCAATACTTTTGCTATTTGATTTTTCTTCATGTATTATTTTCAGAAGTGTGTCTCCATAACAACTATTTTTCCTTTATAATAGCTTTCAGATACCTACTCAACAACATAATCCTGCTTGACAATCTCTATTTCTGCCCCACCACCAAACATCCCAACACTAACATTTCTTTCTTTTTTTTAAAGAGGTTTTTGCTATAGGGCGCCTCCACTCGCCAGAAAGAAAGCGACAGAGAGACAGAAAGTGAGAAATCACTCCCTAGTGTGGATGGCCACGCCACAATCCCTTCTCCTCCATTCTCCTCTTGGGATCTTGGGCACGCATGCACACGCGTCCGACGTGAGTTTAAGCCATCGGATCCAGGACTTAAACACAGTCAACTACATGGAAGTTCAGTGACATAGCCATTACACTAACTTTTGATCCTCCCGAACATTAGCATTCTTCACCCCATTTAATAGTAATAGCGATCATGAAAAACAGTAGGAATAATAATGGCTACATTGCTGGACTACCCTAGAGTTGTACAGCGGTTCAAGTCCTGGACTTGGTGACTTAAACTCACACCGGGCACGTGTGTGTGCGTGCCCAAGATCCTGAGAGGAGAATGGAGGAGAAGGGATTGGG